CTAGTAATTGATAATAGTAGCTTTGGTTGAATGCATTTAATATTATAAAATGATTAATTCTTTTTAGATTAATTGATATTGTTTATTATAGTTTGATTGAATATTATAGGAGAATGATAATTACTTTAGTATGATAATTAATGAATATATCATAAGTCAATATAAAGGATAAATAATTATAATTAATTAATTAATAATAAATGATATAAAATATATATATATAATATTTATTATTATAATATAATTTAATTTAAATTATAGTAATTTTTGTTTTGTTAGGGAGTAGGATTAATAAGATTGATGTATAATATTGACAATTGATGATAATAAATTTATTATTATAAAACAAATATAATATGCATGTCATATGTATGATTTTATTTAAAGAAATGTTAATTAAATGATAATGGTGATTAGTTCATATGATAACAATTAGTTGTAAATTCATCATATCCATCAGCATTAAAATTCAATTTTTTGTTGTCATCAGTTATTAATATCATTAGTCATACATAAGATTTACCATCTACCATGTATCATCATCATCAGCGATTAGGTTATCATCACTATTTGGCCATGTGATACTATATTTAGCTTGCGAAGTCGAAAGAGCAGCCGGCGAACATTAATATCTCCCGATCGGAATCTATTACCTCCTCGAGCTATTATGCGATTCTCACGACATACGAACCGAGAGTCGTCATGCACACATCAATTCTTTCTTCATCACTTCTCACACATCATTCCTTATTCTTCATCCTCACATCTCTCGCAGCTCATTGATCCTATTCTAACTTCACTTCTCACACTATCTCTCATATCTGCCATATATACTAACCATCAATTGCTCACACCATTCCTTTCTTACATTATACACCTGGTCTCACACTCACTCCTTTCTTTCATATCACTTCTCCACTCACATTCCTTATCTTCTCTTATCACTTCTCCCGCCACTCATTCCTTTCTACTGCAACCTTCTCAGCTACTCATTATCCTTATCGCTACATCAACTATCATCCGCATCTCATTTCCTTTCTACATCACTTTCTCGAGCACACTTCCCATAGATGCCTGTCCGTTTGCTACATCACTTTCATTTTCACTCATTTTGGGCTAACGCTTCTACATTCACTTCTCACACGGTCTATTCCTTTGTCTAGACATGCCACCTCTATCTCCGCTTTTACTTCTTATCTATCCTCTCTACAATCAACTTCTCACAGCTCAATTCCTTGTTCTACATCACTTCTCACATTCTCAGTTCCCTTTCTTCATCACTTCGTCTTCGACTCTCACACTGCATCCCTCTCGGCTTCTAACATTACTATTCTCTTCTTCCACTACATTCTTTCTAACTCATGATACACAGCACGACTCATATGTTCGTGTTTCTTCATGACTATCTTACCACTCCCATCATTGTCTACAGCTCTATCGCCAATGCCTTCCTGTTCTACATCACTTCTCAAGCACTCATATTTTCTTCTCGACTTTCTTCCCACGTGCATTCTGCTTTCTCTTATCATCACTTCTCCACTGCATTCGCTTTCTACAAATCACTTCTCCGACTCATTCCTTTTTCTAGCATACAGATCTCACACCATTCCTTTCTAGCAAGAACACTTCTCACATTCTCATTCCTTTCTATCATGTCACTTCTCAACACTCATTCCTTTTCTTGCATCAACTTCTCCCGAACTCGATTTAATTAACAGTCTTGCATTACAGATCACGTTCTCGCACACCTGCATTCCTCTACAATCACTTCTCCGGCACTTCATTGCCTTTCTTCATCACTTCCTGGCCCACCTCATGTCGCTTCTACAATTCACTTCTCCCACATCATTTTTTGTCTGCTCTACATCACTTCTTCTTTCGCTCTCGATTTTCGCTCTTGCTAACATCATTCTTCCCACTCATTCCTTTCTTTCATTCACCTTATCTCTACATACTCTATTTTGTCCTTCCATTTTTCCATATAATTTCACTTCCTCAATGAACACCTCATTACCTTTCTTCATTCTACTTCTCCACTTCGATGATCGCTCTTACAATACTACTTTCTCCACACTGTCACTATCCCTTTATTCTTGCATCAAACTTCTCACACTTCTATTCCTTATTTTCTTGCTGATTCACTTCTCGTCCCACTGCATTCGCTCTATTACAGTATCACTTCTCCGGCTCACTCATTATTTGTTCTTACTTTTCATCAAATCTCGTAACTCATTTCCTTTCTCATGCAATTCTCAAGCGAAATGCATTCCTTTCTTCATATTCTATCTGTTCTCCACATTCATTACTCATTTCCTATTTTCTTATTCATCACTTCTCCCCACTATTTTTCTTTTCATTCCTTTCTTTCATCCACTTCTCTACACTTCATGTCGCTTCTACAATTTCATTCTGCCCCACTCATTCCGTTTCTACATTCACTTTCTCACACTCATGTCGCTTTCTATCATCCACTTCTCACACTCATTCAGCTTTCTACAAT